ACATCATTTGCTAAAGATCAATATATCATGTCACTTAAATTTTAAAGCTCAATATATCATGTCACTTAAATTTGATTGGCCAAGGAAAACATGTTTTCATCGTAACTTTTCAATTCTACAACATATAGGGCCCTTACAATTTAGAAAATGGACCAAAACTTTGTCTAAATCAAACATCTTCAAATCGATTATGTGTACCAATCTAAATATCTTTGTCTCAATTTACCTCAAACACTTGATTTTGTTAATTGTCTGTTTAACTAAACTATAGAAAAGTCGACTACTCTCCTTCGAGTGGGACAAAAATTTCAATTAATCCCCCCTCCTATTTAAATTTAAGTAAGAACCCAAAAACATATGATCCAAAATGAATGTGGTAAGAATAAGGCTTTGAGAAAAAAAACATTTCTTAATCCAAGAAAAATTGGAGCTTCAAAAGGCTACAACTTTATGGATAAAATACTTGAAATTACCTAAACCAAGCAACAGTTGAAAAATAAGAAATGAGATCAAACAGAAACTGGAGACTAAGAGTGAGACAAGAGCAGAGGATGGTGATCGATTTGAGAGCGAAATGTTAATCGAATGGAGAGTAAGAAGAAGAGAAAAAAAAGAAGCGCAACCAACTTAACAAGTGTCCACTGTTAGTCAACAAGAAAGTTGCACCAAATCCTTATTAGTGGATACTGGACAATAGTTAGTGGACATTTTTTTTACAAGCATTATATAATATAAGTGATTAGAAATAAAAAGATAATTTTATTAATTCACCTTTTAATAATTTTTTAGAAATTTTATAAATAAATGTGATTACTTATGATAAAAAGTAATTGTAAAGGTAATATAAGGATTTTTTTTTAATTTATTAAGATAAACGATTAATATAAGATAACTATTTTTTTATAAAATAATCAATTAAAAAGGAACGGCAATATGAACATACTTAGAACTTTGACTCACTCCTCTTAAAATTACGCAATGAACTCTGAGCGGCATTTATAAACAATAAAATATTTAGACCTCCAAGTAAAGAAAAATGAAATGAAAGACGACATTTTGCAAATTAAAATTGAATAGACTTTTAAAAAGTAATTTTACTGTCAAGTTTGAAAAATCATAAGTAAGTGGTATCTTACTTTTGACTTATTCAAGAGCATGTTAGTTCTAAAATAACTTTAGTGTGATTGTATGAAAAATAATATCTAGTGGTGGTTTAATTGTCACTAAAAATATATTTTCAGCAATATTTACTATTATAAAAATATATATTTAAAGCTTTTAGTGATACTAAATCAATGACAGTAAACTAATAATTATAAAAAATTTATCGCTCTTTGTTAATATAAAAAAATTTATCGCTCTTTGTTAATATATATATTTATTAATGTTAAATATTATTTTTATTGAAGTGCATGTGTCAAAAGATATTTTAAATTGTATACGCTCCCTGTATCTTTCTTTTTCTACATTTTTTGTGATTCAACAAAGTCTAACAAAGTAAACAAAAGCTAATGATGGATACTGAAAATTGGTTCTAATTATATTTAAACATAGTGCTAATACAATGAATTACAAGATGGACAATATTCGTATATAAAATATTTTAATATGTTTGTATTTTAAGAATATAATCCCTTCACACAACGACCAAACAATCCAAAATTATTGAATGAAACAAATCATGTTGCACATATACCAACCGTGAATGTGTCAAAAGGAAATATTTCATCACTATCAATAGCAATGGTAGGTGTCTTTAATGGTGCAACACGAACCAGAGATCAACATAAGATTTTGAAGATTTTAGATACATTAAAAATGAAAATCATGAATAATAAAATTTAAAGTGCACTCAAATTAAAAATACTTAAATAAACACACTGGAAGGATTTGAGCACAAAATCTCACGGGTGGATCCTCTAGATTGTATTAGTAGCACAATGGTATTCCTTATGCTTTTCATATGTCTATTGTTAATTATATTTTAATTTCTATCAGTTTTTCAAAATAGATTTTATTTATATATATATATATATATAAATAATTTTTTTCAAAGTTAATAGATGCACATGGATTAAAATAAATTATATATAGATGATTTTTTTCAAAGTTAATAAATGCACATGCACCCTACAAAGGGGTGGTTCCGCCTATGCTTACCAGAAGCTTCACTTTGTTTAATCAATTGTTGTTTATTTCATTGGATGTAATATTGTGGAATGGGAATAAAAAATGATTAAGTAGCTAGCTATTGTCACGTCCTAAAATGGCAGGTTTAAGTGCACGTATTTTAAACTTGAGTTAATCAAATGAATCGTTTATATTATATGTCGCATCTGTAAATCCATGCATGCATTCAAATCAAGAACCCTCAATTGATTAAAATTCGCAATGCTCAACTACCGCTCTTAAAAACCTATTTTATATATATACAAAAATTCCTTAAACTGATATAATAATATAAGTGCTGATACATTAATTTGATGCACGCGATACATTAATCTAATGTGCGAGATACATTAATTTGATGCACTAATACATTAATCTAATACGTGAAAATGAGGAATTTTGAGAATTTATAAATTTAATAAGGGATAATGATAATAAAAATACTTAAAGGTTATGTATATATAATGCATACTCTCAACTTTCAAACTTACACTTTGGATAAATCTTTTGTTATAAAATTGTCTAAACTTTCCAACTTACACTTGATAAATCTTTTATTATAAAATTGACTTACATGTAAATGGTCCAACCATATCTGTCTTGTCTAATATATATATATACTAGATAAGTATTGTTTGTGCAAAGCACGAGCCCGGCATATAATCTTATTCGTGATTTATAATTGATTAATATAAGTTAGACAATCACATATAGACGCAATTATATAAAATAAATAAAAATAGGCCGAATACATAAACAGATCCCTAAACTTGTTAGATTTTTTCCCTCAGGTACCTTAACTATGTCATTTTCCTATTCAATCATTGAACCGTTCATAATTTGTTCCTGTTATACATTGTTAGTTGATTTTGATCGACTTTTCTATTGTAAATGCCTTCGATTATGTTCTTATTGTAATGACAAAAGATCTGTCTACAATACACATGAATGTAGTTCCTCCAGATTCTTTGAAAGAAGAGGAGGCCAACTACATAACCCGAGAATGAGAAAGGTAAACTCTAAGCAAATCTTACTACTAACTCATTACTAACTCGAGAAACAAAAGATTGTGTCATGTTTGTGCAAGTATGAGTCTTCACATCAAAAGGTATCTCCTAAGTCTTGCACAATTATATCTATGAGTGACTCATGAAGTGACTCAGGTAGAATAGAATACACTGGCCTCATATCAGTTAACTATATCCATAATATAAACTATATCCAAAAATTTGTAACAATTGACTTACCTCTGTGGATTACCTAAATATGTGGATTTGGAGTGTTATAAGTACTTTTCTATTTTAATCATACTCGTGAGATTCAAAATTGGAGAGATTAAAGTCACGACAAAGAGGATCAATAAAAAAGCAGCAAACAAAGAAGGTTGAAGCTCATAGGTGTCAAGGCTTGACAACATTACTACCATCCTCTGTTTTGAACTCTTTTATTCATTGAAGAAAGCAAACACTATCAAATACAACATCTAACATACATTTTCATTGTTTCGACTGGAACTAAACTCAAATGGACATGTCACACACTTATCGCCGACTGTTTCCTCTTCTCTTGCATCAAATTGTTCAAAATTTCTTTCAAATGATCAATACAAAAATAGAGATTACATCTATACAACATGTATATCTACACCTATAGTATTATTAGGCAACAACTTCAAAAATCAATCCAACACTCACAACCTTAAGCCTGAATTTTGGAGAATGTAAGATGACATGACTGCAGAAGAACAAAAAATTATGCTACAATCAATATAATAATTATTGTACTTAATTATATATAGTTCTACCAAAGTAAAGACAAATAAAATGATTTAGTTCTACCAAAGTAAAGACATATCAAAAGTAAGCTTTGATAAGTTTGTCCCTTTTTACACTCCTTCCGTCCCTTTTTACTTTGGTAGAACTATGTAATTAGCCTTCCTCCGTTCAAATAAGAACTACGTGCCAATAAAAGTGTAATTATACAAAATTCTACCAAAGTAAAGACAAATAAAATGATTAACAAAAATTTGGTTCTTAAAAGTGCAAGAATTTCATAAATCTCACCAATGATTGCTCTAATTTATCTAAAGCCTGATCATTCCATCAAAAATACAAATTCTGAATGCAAGAACTATACACTACACCATTTTCGGCCTACAGCAACACCACGTAAGTGTAGCCTAAACTAGCATAAAGTGTGGCCTTTGATAAAAGACTACACTTTTGGACATTCAGCAACACTTTTTAGGGGCTGCCCAAAAGAAGCGTAACCTTTGACATTAGGCAACACTTTTTAAATGTTGCCACCTTTGGCAACACTTATAAAGCGTAGCCAAATAGGTATAAGGGCACGCTTTGAAGACGCGCATTAGCAACACCTATTTTTTATTAGACTACACTTAAAAGCGTTGCCTTTTTAGATTTATTGGTCACACTTAAAAAGTGTTGCCTTTTATTGGTCATCTATTGCAACATTTATAAAGTGTAACTTTATGTCTCATCTATTGCAACACTTATAAGGCGTTACTTTATATGTCATCTATAGCAACACTTATTAATTGTAACTTTATATCTCATCTATAGCAACACTTATAAAGTGTTGATTTTATATCTCACCTACAGAAACACTTACAAAGTGTAACTTTATATCTACCTAGAGGCAACACTTTCAAAGTGTAACATTTTATCTACCTAGAGCAACACTTACAAAGTGTAACTTAAACATATATAAGCCTACATGTAGCATAAATATATATAATATATTTACATACATACAAGTGACCTAAAACACAAAATGAACTAATTAAGCATTAAATTGAAGAGATATTTCAAATAAACTTCGAGAAATATTTCATGTACAACCAAAACATAGAAAGTGATTGCTTAAAGATCTCTAATATCAACAAGTTCCAAAAACCCAAAAGTGTCATTCAAACGTATATGACAACAATACAAAAATTTCTTCATCTTTTGCCACAATGGATCGAGTTTACTTCTGGCCAAATTCAAATTCAGTTACCTACATTTTCCTGCACATTTAAAATAAAATTATAAGTTTGTGAATTAATTGTGGAAGTGCATAATCAGAGAGAATTCACTGCAAGACAACCAATCCAAATCTAAATACAATTTCAATGTAAAAATTACACATTATAAGGACTACAACATTTGTGCAGTCTTCTGTTGTTGGCTCTCAAAAATTAAACTTCAAAAGTTTAATTTGTGCAGTCTTCTGTTGTAAACTTCAATGTAAAAATTACACACAAGTAGTTCAAACAAACCAGTGATGACCACTAGAAACAAGGTTCATAACATACTCTAGAAGTGTCCACAAAAATCAATACATAACAACATGAACATGATATTTTCAAAGAACTGCAGCATAGGCCAAGGTTCATCATCAGACTGCATCTCTAGTGCATACAAAAAAGACACAAACATCATCAGACTGTATCTCTAGGGCAAGGTTCATCATCAGACAGTGAACAAAAAATACAGACAAGAGAAATGTTTAGTAAGAAGAGAAGGAATGCTATAAAAAGACACAAACAAAATCTTGAACAAGTTAAAGATTTAATAGACAATGAACAAAAAATAGAGGACCAGTAGCAAGAAAAACCCCTGCAGATTTTCCTCTCCAATTTTCTCTGCCTTGTCTGTAGTTTAACAAGTAACCATTAAGGATCTATCAAACATAATAAATCTACCCACAAGATCACAGGCTGCACCACATTAATACTAACAGCCACAACCACCTAGCTAACAGACACCAATATGAAAAAAATAGCAATAGCTTCATAAAGGTGCAGACAGACCATTAAAAGACCAGCTACAATAGCCTTTACAATGAGCTGGATTCAGAAGCTAAAGGTAGAAAAATAGTGTCATCATTTTTTTAATTGAACACCATTGGAATATGCCATAAAACATAGTGTGTTAGCCACAAACTCCTCAATTGCACAATACTAACGGAACAATTATTCAACTAACGATTCGAATGCTTAAACCAAAAACAAAAACATTCTTAACAGTTATAAATAGGTGGACTAAACTTGGACAAGTAAAAATAAGTTTTGAATTTCATTACCAATAACACCAACTAAACTAGAAGAAAAACAATATTGACACTATTAATAGAGAATTTGAAATATAAAATACCTTTTGATGAACCGAATCTTGAGCTGACCCAGAAGAATATGGAAGATTTGTGCCTTTTACAGCTTGTGCACTACTTGCATCAATAGGTGAAGAAAGGTTAGATCCAACACACCCGGGTATATCTTGAAAATTCAATCCAGGGTTGTTTTGCAGCAATTGAGTGAATAAATGTCGCATTTCTTCTCTCAGTTCTTCCTTTAGAGAAGTGATTTCATCGGCATGCTTTTGTTTTAGATTGTTAATTTCCTCATCTTTCTTCAAAGAACTTGTTGTCACTGATCTACCATAGCACCTAACTCGACCAGGCTGCTCCTTTCCAAACACTGCCCTAAATGCATCATCAGCTATTTCCCCAGAATTTTGGCGACTTTGAAGTTCAGCCTATTGAATAAAATTGGCATCCATAGTGAATTGTAAGTAGTATCAAGCATTCAAACATTATGAAAAATTTTCGTAAAAAATAATTAAACAATGTCGACAAATAATTGATATCTCCTCGAACTTGCACAAGAAGAAGAAGAAGAAGGCATACATGATTAAAATTTAATGTAGTCAAACTCCCCACGATATAAATGTTAAGTCTGAATAAAGTTCACTAATAATCCTCTTTGAAAAACTTACTATTGCAACTTGGGTATCAGCCTGGATTTCCTTTCCCGTCTTGGTACGAGTTGCAATAAATATTTCAGGCTTTGATGGTTCTTCGTTGTTGTCTTTGGCTGCACGCTATAGATTATATCAAAAGAGTTTAAAACCATGCGAAGGAACAGAAGTATAAGCTTTATGTATGTATGACAAAATTCATATTAAAGAGGACAGAACAACAGGAGATATCAGAATATGCAGTCTTAAAAGATGATTTTTAGTTCACTTTTTTGGACAAAGTAGACTTAGCTAGTGAAACTCAAATTTGGAGAGTCCGATTTCTAGTTCACTTATCAGAATATGCAATGGTGTAATAACATATTTGGAGAGTCCGATAAACATAGTTAAAAAGTGAGAAGGTTCTCTATGATTAGGAATGTAAAGAAGAGAACAACATTATTTTTTGATGTTAATTCTTATATGTTAAAACTATTTTTTTATTTAGTTTCATCACGAAGATGAATAGACTATAGTCTTATAGATATGGTCACAAGTTTCAAACTTGAAAGCGTACAAATTACAACATGTTTATTCTTCAAAAATTACAAAAGAATAAATGTATATTAAGCTCTTCAGTAGGCTTATTCCTGTTCACTACTAACTGGAATATCCACAGTTTGACATAGACTAAAAGGAAAGGCATCAAACAACTGAAGTCACAGAGAAAACATGTTGGTGGATACCACCATAGGTCTCTTCCCCCTGAAGCTCAAAAGAAACACCACTTTGTGGAGCATGACAGAACCATTGAAGTCGATAGGAAGGAGAAACATAAAGTCAGTGAGGAAAAAAGCACTTGACCATAGACTGTCTTTACAATTCTATTTACTACTATTTTATATGGAAGAACTTGACATGTAATGAAATTGGAAAGTTACAAGCTATTTTCTCATCTGTTGCATCTAACTCATCAAATAGGTCAGACTTTAGCATCATACAAGACTTTCTCTCCATTTTGTTTGCACTAACTTCTCCTAATTCTTCTAAAACTTAGATGAAGCAAGCCTCACTTTCAACAATATCCAAAACTCAACAAGTTGTCCATACCACAAAAACAAATCTTCTACTTTTATTCTGTTGTTGCTAGTAACAGTTAGCAGAAAAGACTGTCACAAGTTACTGCTCCCTCTCCACCCGTTCTAGACTTGAAAAATATATGTTATATCTCCAATTTCTAAGGCATATGATTTATTTTCTATATAGTGCAACTCAAACTACAAAAAAAGTTTAACAAATTCATAGTACGAGCTGATCCCAAAACAACTAAGCAATATTGAACCAATGTTTGTGATCTATACTTGAAAAATGCACTAGACAAACAACAAAATGACTTCTAGACACTTCAAGACATGTAGTCGAAAAAAAATATTTTACCAGCAAATAGCTACAAGACAGAATCAATGTTGTTAACAAAGGAACAAACCAAGCTTAAGACGAGCACAATCATGAACTCAGGAAGACTAAAAAAGACTAAAAAAACAGTGACATTAAAACATACATTAAAACTTTTTCAAATTCATGTAGAGTAGCTACTTACACTTGACGAAATCTATATTAGGGACAAAATATTATAGGTATCGTCAACTTCAACACTTCAGTTCTTCGAAGAAAGATAACTTAGCTACAACTCAGTTCTTCAGATACTTTTGACTTAGCTTCAGCTTCTACATTCAACATTCAAGAGAAAAAATTAGTCTGTCAAAGATAATCTGCCCATTTATACGTCATACAACTACAAACTAAACTCCCTAAATGAACAAAATTCGTATCAATAACACAAGTCATAAAAACCCTAACTTTAATTTTGGACTGACACAAAAGAATATCAAAATCTTAGAGCTATAATTTAGACTTTTGAAGATAAAATATCTTACCTGATAAACTCTATTCCAACAACCCTAAAGCTTTAAGATATGAAGCAAGTTGATTTGTGAAGCATTTTCTTTCAACTTTCAAAAGAAAATCTGATGGAACAACAGTTTACCCAAGAATCTTTGAAGAAAATCGTCTTCTTCAGCTCTCCAATCTTGAACAACGAAGCTCGGAGAGGAGGATCTTCTTCTTCAGTTTGCTTTAGAGGAATCGCGTTGCTCTTTGATTCTTCGGCTGAAAATGGTGTTCTTCAACTGAACTTTGACAGAGTTTGTGACGAAAATCGATTTCTTCCGTTCTTCGATCCTGTTTTTCAGTTCTTGCAAATGGGTTCTTCAATTCTGGATGAAAATGTGTTCTTCAGCTGAAAGTGAAAGTTTCAGCTGAAGTTTCAGTAATGTTTCCCATTTTGTTGTTTTAATGTTTTATTATTTTTAATATTTCTTTAATGTTTTATTTTTTTGGCCAAATAAAAATGGAGGGAGATCAAATTTTAATGTTAAAATGTTAGAGGGAATATAAAATTTTGGGAAAACACTAAGGCAACATTTTTCATGTGTTGTATTAACAATTATAAGAATAGCACACTTTAAAAGTGTGGCCATTTATGTAAATAGTTGTTGCCAACTATAACAACACTTATAAAGTGTAGGTTATCCCATTAAAGAGTACACTTTAGAAGTGTTGCTAATATTAGTGTAACTAAAAGTCAAAATCTTTGGCTACACTTTAAAAACGTCCCCAAAAGTATTTTAGGCAACACTTTATAAGCGTTGTCCAGATTTAGTGTTGTCGTAGACCTAAAATGGGTGTAGTGTATACAAAAGATAACAACAATTTTGTGAATAAACTATCTTTATCTATAATTTTTAATTACTGACAAACTGAGATCGAAAAGACTGTCAACTTACTTCTTTTTAATTAATATATAGTCATCTATTCTTAGCAACAACTTGATATAATTATATCCTTAAGGTTTAAAACTATGGCTAGCCATCTATGAATTTCTCCTTGAACTTGTAATGAATTTATTATATCACTTTCTACATTCATGAAATAAAATGTTACTTTTAACAAAAAGAAACTTCAACTAAATATAAGAAATTGTAGTCCATTATGGTTGAAAAATGTGTTGATAATCTTGAAACTCACATTTCATTGTATCCAAAGTAGCCCCCTTTATCTGTGTGAAGATGCCGCTTGGTCCCACAAATTTCACACACAATATGTTGGTCTCTATGTGGACGCTCAAACAACTTCATCTGCTGCCACAAAAAATATTTTTCAAGTAATCCTTTTCATAGCATATGGATTGAAATTCCTCTACATGAAATACAAATGACCTTTGTTTATGCAAAATATCAAGAGTACAATATTTTAAGCACATTCTAATTTCTGGAGGTCCAAGGGCAAAGTGCTTGTATGCTGATGAACAAAAAGGAAAGTTCTTGTTAAATCAAAAGAGTGGTGTGTGAGCAACCTTACCCCTACTTGTGAAGGTAGAGAGTTGTTTTTCAATAGACTCTCATCACTATTTTCGGATATGCTTCTGAAAAAACATGTTTACATAAATTTTTAACAAAAATTGCTAGATGCAACATATAGAATTGACTGAGCAAACGAACAATCAAGTTCATTTATTTTCTCTTATAAGCATAAAGTTTGTACATATTACAACATGAAAGAAACTTGATCCTTTATTCAATTTACTTAAACAACATCCCTGTGATTCAATATACTCAAAATAGAACATAAAAGTGAGTTAAGATATACAATACATATACAACTTTAAAGATAAAATATAGGCAAGAAATACAATAATTTCCTTTATTTTCATTATTGCTCCACATACAAGATATGAAAGATTTTCACGCTTTAAATTGCACTGCTAGAGCGTAACTTCATAATATTAGTCTTGTTCATGTTGTTTTGTGTATCCGTATTTTTGCAATTTTATAAACCTGGCATAGGCTTTGACTCAACCACATTTATTTAAATCTTCAAATTTCTTTAACTTCTCAATTGTTGTTAAGTAACAAATATAGCAACAAACATACACCTACTAATTGAATGATAAAGTTGCATCCCTTCAGAAGGAGCAATAAGCATTGAGCACATAAATTCCTAACTCAAAAAATCTATAATCTATCCCAATCAACTTAAAAAATGAAGTAAAATATTAAAACAGAATTTGAGAAAAAAGAATAAAAAATATATCTTTAAAAAATTAATGAAAAAAAATTGAGTATAATTTATACATATCTCAAGAACACGAAAAAGGAATTTAACTCGTGGGCAAAAATCTTATTGCATTTGGTGACTTTTTGATTGATTGATCAATCTGTGGATTGAGAGAATATAATTTCACTCTTAAACCCTAAGTTTTCATTCAAAGCTTAAAATAAAAATCTAAAACTCCTAAACAAGTGAACAAACAAATAATAATAACAACACAGCCTTAGAGCATAGAGTCATGACAACACACCGTCAAAAGAAAATATGAGACTTTGAAAAAGTGAAATATGCCATAACAAAAAATTGAAAGTGATAAAATATAGAGACGGTAAACCTTAGAAAAGGATGCACAATTTTTCTCGAACTAACGAAAAGATGCCTCATTTGATTCCATAAATATTTGATGCTTATGCTTTATCGATTCTCTTTCTCTTACATGTCGTATGTTTCAAATTGGAATATTCAACAATATAGCTGATTTAACTCGTAACTCATAAGCTTTGAACCGTTAGGAGAAGAAGATATTTGAGGAGATGATCCATCATTTTGGCTATGAGGTGTTGACAATTGCTATTAATAATAACAATCTAGAAGTTAAGGAAAAAGATCTAGAACTATGAGGAATGGAAAGAAAAAGTAATGTGGTTTGCTAGAATATCAATAATACGTAATTACTATTTTACCCTTGCATGATAACATAATTATGAAACTGCCATTGGTCATCCTACTTCATCATGCTTCTACATAGTAGTAATATATATATATATATATATATATATATATATATATATATATATATATTTCATACTTACACTTGATAAATCTTTTGTTATAGAATTGTCTCAACTTTCCAACTTACTCCTTGATAAATCTTTTGTTATAAAATTGACTTAGATGTACGTAAATGGTCCAAACATGTGTCTTGTCTAATAGGAGTGAAAAAGAATAAATATATCCTTTTGCTAAGTAAGACGTATATATAATTAATTTCACACATTAATTATTTTTTTCCTTAATTTTAACTCCTTTAATTCAATAAATCATTTGAGTTGATCATCTTAAATAACCATTGTAATTTACCTAGACCCTTGAACCTAATCTCGTGATGACTTTCCTTTAGCTACAAGCTTCACGATACTCAACAGTTGCATCTTGCATAGTTTCAATTAATTCAGCCACCATATTGCACATATAAAATCCAGACCCATGCTTATTGGGCACATGATCACATCATCGAATCCAAGAAAATACAACTCTCACATTTAGCAATAATTGAGGCAACAAGGAACGCACATTCACATTTTTTAAGTTATAACTCATAGACAAGCTTGATTTCTAAATTATTTTGTTCCATAGACGATCATTACTGATCATCTATGCCTTATATGATCCCTAAGGCCAGATACTAATTGGAACCTTCTTAGTTCCAATTAACTTGCTTGTGTAGCTTCAGTCGGGACTACGACTCTAGTTCACTTCGTTGAGATACCAATTGGACTCAACTCATACGACAAGCGACAATAATAGCTAGCAATCCCCACAAAACTCCTAATTTCAATCACAGAACTTGGTCGAATCGAATTCTTAACCGCCTCAATCTTTAACTAATGGTAACGAGACCTTAAATCAATCTTAAAGAAAAACGATGCACCGACAATTGGTCAAAAAGGTCATCTATCTGAGGCAATGTATACTTGTTCTGAATGGTAACCCTATTATACTTTTAGTAATCTATAGACATCCTCTCTTGCTATGATGGTGTTACCACTTTTGTTGCTCGAGTTCGAACAGTAGAGTGAAGGAGGAAAGATATGACTTGTATCAATATCACCTAGTTATCAGTTGGATTTATGTCATAGCATGAAGGAGTAGAAAGAAGTAACTCCCAAAGTCCTATAGCCTATCGAAGAAAAGTACGGATGTCATCGTACCATTCTCCAAGACTCCACTAGACTCATTGTGGTACAATGATATCAATGAACCTAAACTCTGATATCCATTTTGTCACGACTCAGACCCTCGTGATTGACACCACACTAACCCTCCGGTGGGAGAACCATTACTACAATTAAAATGAATAAGTTTTTATGAAAACTAAGGAATTTAAAGATATTGAATTAAATAAAGAAACTATATAATTAATATGGAGTCCCCATAAACTCCAAAGGTTTAAACAAATAACTAACCAAACTAATGTGGAAGAACAACCCCTAAAACCTGAAAGTCATTGTACCAAAACTCAACTAACGACAATTCTAAGAGAAAAGGGGTACAACCCTGAAACTAAACAACACCTTCAACAAATGGTCTAAGTCTGAAAAGAGTAAACTCAAACAAGATCGACTCTAGCAGCCTGAAAGAACTGACTCACCCTTAAATCCACTCGATGCTCAATAGTCACCTAGCATAGGTGTATCAATAGCCACCCAAAGATGTCATGTACTCAACAAAGAAAGAGCAAGTGCAATATCAGTACACAACCAAAGTGTACTAGAAGGGTCACGCGGTGACTATCCCATTAAGTGCAACATAAGTCAATGCAACATAATAATAACATGCATACGTCTAACATATACAATATCATCATCATTTACAATCAACAGAGCATTTCAAAATTCTCAAATATCACAGTTATATCAAGTAGTTGGTCCTCTCGTGGAACTAAAATCGAAACATAGCATATCAGAATGTGGTACCCGATTTAATTTTTATGCCAAGATATGGAAACTGATCCCAATTAGTTATGACGGAACGTGGCAACCGACTTCAATGTGATAACGATCACAACTAGTCATGCCGGAATGTGGCAACTTATGCCAATTAGTTTTGCTAGAACGAGGCAGCTGATCCATTGAACACACCACAATCACAATCACAAGTATATTCTCAACACCATACAATCAAAAAGTGATTCATGATATATAATTATTCATCTATCTCGTTTAAAATAAGTGTGATTAATAATACAACATTCACATACATACATGTATTATAATGAAGAAAGAATAAACATACATCAAATAATCATAGAATTAGAACCATCACCTACCTTGAATTCAAGCTTGAATCCGTTAAGACACTTGAATCTTCCCTTTCCAGATTCTTTCCGTTTGTTCTAGGTTTACAAAAAACAATTTATACGCAAGGATCAACAATCAAAGGTCCAATCATTCGGATTATAATGAACACAATAAAGCTAGAGCAAATCCATGATCCCCATACCCAAATTAGTGCTTTTCCCACCATAATTCTCAGATAAAAAACCTCCCCCATTGGTAATGACCCAATAAACTAAATTCTACAGATTGAAACATGGATTCAGAGAGTAAAAACCTTACCTTTAGCCTCAATAACGGTGACAACCGTCAAGAACACACCTTGGGTCGTTCCGTAGCTCTCAAAGTTAAAAAATGTACAATAAAACATTTTTGGAGGTTTACTTCCGACTTAAGTCGCGTTTGATCCGTCATGGTGGCACTCACCCCGCTACAACGTCCTTGACACTACGGAAGAAATCCACCCGACGAATTGAACTGAACCAGTGAGAAAAATTAATGATTCCAAGACCCCATTTGACACACACCTTCAACAACCGACACTCAAAAATTACCGTTCACGCAAAGATCAATTTCACGAGTTCTATTCACCTGAATTCGATTTCATAAAGTCGTACGGGTTCCTTAACGTCTTGTTTATCTACTCATGTAATTAAAATCATAAATAGGTTTCTCATTCGTTAGCAGATTTTCCTAGAACTTATCGACTCCGATTTCATCCAAACCTGGACAAGACTAGAAAATCTCAAATTAGTACGAAAAGGTATTCTAGCCTCAATTTTTTCCCCATTAACTTTTTCCTAACGATGAAAATCATGTCGTTACATT